AAATAATAAAAATAAAGTGAATAAAAAATAAATAAAAATATCACATGTCATTAAGAAGGGCCTTCTTCAGGCACCGTGCCATTAAGAAGGGCCTTCTTCAGGCACTGTGCCATTAAGAAGGGCCTTCTTCAGGCACTGTGCAATTAAGAAGGGCCTTCTTCAGGCACTGTGCCATTAAGAAGGGCCTTCTTCAGGCACCGTGCAATTAAGAAGGGCCTTCTTCATGTACTGTGTGCCATTAAGAAGGGCCTTCTTCATGCACTGTGTGTCATTAAGGGCCTTCTTCAGGCACTGTGCCATTAAGAAGGGCCTTCTTCAGGCACTGTGCCATTAAGAAGGGCCTTCTTCATGCACTGTGTGCCATTAGGAAGGGCCTTCTTCATGTACTGTGTGCCATTAAGAAGGGCCTTCTTCATGTACTATGTGTCATTAAGAAGGGCCTTCTTCAGGCACTGTGTGTCATTAAGAAGGGCCTTCTTCATGCACTGTGTGCCATTAAGAAGGGCCTTCTTCAGGCACTGTGTGTTATTAAGGGCCTTCTTCATGCACTGTGTCATTAAGAAGGGCCTTCTTCATGCACTGTGTGTCATTAAGGGCCTTCTTCAGGCACTGTGTGCCATTAAGAACGGCCTTCTTCATGCACTGTGTGTCATTAAGAAGGGCCTTCTTCATGTACTGTGTGCCATTAAGAACGGCCTTCTTCATGCACTGTGTGTCATTAAGAAGGGCCTTCTTCAGGCACTGTGTGCCATTAAGAAGGGCCTTCTTCATGCACTGTGTGTCATTAAGAAGGGCCTTCTTCATGCACTGTGTGCCATTAAGGGCCTTCTTCATGCACTGTGTGCCATTAAGAAGGGCCTTCTTCATGTACTGTGTGCCATTAAGAAGGGCCTTCTTCATGCACTGTGTGTCATTAAGAAGGGCCTTCTTCATGCACTGTGTGCCATTAAGAAGGGCCTTCTTCATGCACTGTGTGCCATTAAGAAGGGCCTTCTTCATGCACTGTGTGCCATTAAGAAGGGCCTTCTTCATGTACTGTGTGCCATTAAGAAGGGCCTTCTTCATGTACTATGTGTCATTAAGAAGGGCCTTCTTCAGGCACTGTGTGTCATTAAGAAGGGCCTTCTTCATGCACTGTGTGCCATTAAGAAGGGCCTTCTTCAGGCACTGTGTGTTATTAAGGGCCTTCTTCATGCACTGTGTGTCATTAAGAAGGGCCTTCTTCATGCACTGTGTGTCATTAAGGGCCTTCTTCAGGCACTGTGTGCCATTAAGAACGGCCTTCTTCATGCACTGTGTGTCATTAAGAAGGGCCTTCTTCATGTACTGTGTGCCATTAAGAACGGCCTTCTTCATGCACTGTGTGTCATTAAGAAGGGCCTTCTTCAGGCACTGTGTGCCATTAAGAAGGGCCTTCTTCATGCACTGTGTGTCATTAAGAAGGGCCTTCTTCATGCACTGTGTGCCATTAAGGGCCTTCTTCATGCACTGTGTGCCATTAAGAAGGGCCTTCTTCATGTACTGTGTGCCATTAAGAAGGGCCTTCTTCATGCACTGTGTGTCATTAAGAAGGGCCTTCTTCATGCACTGTGTGCCATTAAGAAGGGCCTTCTTCATGCACTGTGTGCCATTAAGAAGGGCCTTCTTCAGGCACTGTGTGCCATTAAGAAGGGGCTTCTTCATGCACTGTGTGCCATTAAGAAGGGCCTTCTTCAGGCACTGTGTGCCATTATGAAGGGCCTTCTTCATGCACTGTGTGCCATTAAGAAGGGCCTTCTTCATGCACTGTGTGCCATTAAGAAGGGCCTTCTTCAGGCACTGTGTGCCATTAAGAAGGGGCTTCTTCATGCACTGTGTGCCATTAAGAAGGGCCTTCTTCATGTACTGTGTGCCATTAAGAAGGGCCTTCTTCATGCACTATGTGTCATTAAGAAGGGCCTTCTTCATGCACTGTGTGCCATTAAGAAGGGCCTTCTTCATGCACTGTGTGCCATTAAGAAGGGCCTTCTTCAGGCACTGTGTGCCATTAAGAAGGGGCTTCTTCATGCACTGTGTGCCATTAAGAAGGGCCTTCTTCAGGCACTGTGTGCCATTATGAAGGGCCTTCTTCATGCACTGTGTGCCATTAAGAAGGGCCTTCTTCATGCACTGTGTGCCATTAAGAAGGGCCTTCTTCATGCACTGTGTGCCATTAAGAAGGGCCTTCTTCAGGCACTGTGTGCCATTATGAAGGGCCTTCTTCAGGCACTGTGTGCCATTAAGAAGGGTCACTGCCTAAAACACCACCTATTTAAAAAAAATATTTTCTTCGAAGGCAGTGTTATTGAAGAATGTGCAAAAGTATTTTAAATCAACGACCAAAACAAAACAAAAAAGTGCTCGTGTTAACTTTCGTTCAATAAATCTGCCGTTTTTTTCGAAGGGCAGCATGATGCAAATATGGGTGTGAAGGCCAAAGTGAGTAAATAATGCTGTGAATTGACAGGTCAACGTTGTTGAAATCAGAGGGCACATGTGCTGCTGCTGCTGTGTTAGTGGGCGCAGTCATGCGGGCATGGTTTTAAAGGCAGCGTTCAGGGATTCCTGCAACATTGCCCTGCTCTCAATCAGAGTGTTTATCCAGTTGGTGGGCGGGCAGGCAGGCCACCCCCACGAAGGAGCGGCTGCATCCTATCAGCCTTGTTGGCAACAACACTGAACCACGTGTAATTTTCCACTATGGAGGTGAATGAACTGGTAAATACGTAAGCCTTTTCACCGAGTAAGCACATTAATGAATCCAGCATTAGCTGGTAAAACTGTTGGCGCTCGTTACACCTTACTGCAAACTTCGTTTTTGGGCACTGACGGTGAGCCTGGGTTCTGGAGTCGACACGCTCCGCTCTTGACAAACAAACCTGGTCCACATCATCATGGCACTTTAAAAGGGAGGCTCACATGGAGCATGGAGAACCATGTTAAAATTCTACAGGGGAACGACGAGCCGAATCAGTGGGCACTCCTGCCGCATCGCTCTCAACAGCCTCCCCCGCGTAAGCCGAGAAGCGCCAACCGAGCAACCTCCAACTTCTGTGCGGGAAGCCGAGATACGTGCCAGCTCTGGCCCGAACCACCTTAAAGGAAAAGATCTTGTGGCTTTTACACATTTAAAAAAACTCCGCCAGCACATAATGAAGGGGTTACCTCTCCATCTTTGCCTCATCTCTCTGTATACCGAGTTATAACGGTCTAATAGACGCTACTGCATGAAACCTGGTCCACCTCATCAGTTAGGTGGCTGTGGCAAGATGAACTAAGAAGACCATAAAGAAAACGTTCTATTGAAGCCTCTGTATTGAAGATAAGCAGCCTCCACTCTGTTGTATTCATGGAATTGGCACAATAAATCATGCCCTTGAATCTGTATATAACAGAGGACGTAGCTGCAGCACTTTATGGAAAGGCTGCAACTGCTATTTCAGTTCAGGCAGTTCTCTGCAGCACCTTAAAAAAAGGTGTGCATTGTAAGATCACACCTTTACCATCACGTCGTCAAGTTGTATACGTGAAAGCATCTCCACGACGACCAGTAAATTCACGTAGGCACATGGTAAGGCTGACAGCATAATTGGCAAACACCGAAAACTGAAGGTTTTTGCGGTTGTGCTGCACGGCTCTCCGATGCGTTCCCGGGTTTGCCACGTGTTGTTCGGTACGACGTTCGAGATTCGTTCCATGCGCTGGGAACTTTTGAGCAACGGCAATATTCAGTTCATCATGAACCCAAAAACATGTCGAAGAGCCACGATAAAATAAACAATGTGGTGTGGAGCACAGCAGGGGATTTTTTTTTTTGGGGGGGGGGTAAGGGGGGTAATGGCTTGAGCTCAATGGCTTTGATCTGGCAGGGTCTGGAGCTAATGCCCTCCAATGAGAGCTGAATTTGTGCCTCTTTGTTAGAATGGTGATGGTGCCAGGACATGGACCAAGTTAATTAATCAAGAATAGCACGTGGTGACCGCTGCCGTCTAAAAACATCAGGCTTACTCGGTGGCATTGATTTTCAAGGCCACTTTGCGCTGATGAAGACAAAACCAGCACAAGGTTTGCATTGATTTAACAAAGGCTTCTGGGGAAAACATTTTTCTTGAAGTATTGTTGGTTAAGGAGCTGCACGTTGTTTCATTTTAGTAAATTCCTTTATTAACTGATATAATCTTTAAAATATATGCAAATAATATTTAGTTAAGGCTATACCGTAGGTACATTTTATAAATGAAATATTTGTCAAAATAATGCACCCGAATTGAGTAGACACGTAACCTGGTACATACGCAAGATAAGGCCGTGATGTAATGGTTGGCACACTGGGATTGCAACCCAGAGTTTGCCAAGTTCAAGTTCGATCTTCTTGCACGGAAGTCGAGACGATGGGCGAGTTTCTTAATCCCCCCGGGCTCTGTCTACCCAGCAGCATAAACGGGTACACTACAGTTAGCATATCGGTAGGTCGCGTGTGGTGGGGTAATGTGTGGGTACCTATATCTCTTACAAGATGTGAGGCCAGCATGGAAGAGTAGCTCTAAATATCCTCGGGGGTTGGGGGGGGAGATCTAGCTCCCTCTAATGGGAGACCCTTCCGCGTCTGGTATGAGCAGGCAATTGCAAGGCCACATCGTTTCACCTCTTTAACTCAACTATGGGAGGAGGGAGGAGGGAGGAGGAGGGAGGAAAATAAAAACACGTACAGACGCAGGGCCACACAGAAGTACCTGGAGCCTCCGGGGCAGAATGGCACGCGGAGCGGGGCGGGGGGGGCATTAATAGTGACAAAGAAAAAAAAATCCCGCTGCGGTGCCCCCTCTTTTGTGTGAGGTGCAAAAAAATGTTCCCCTTTTGCCCCCCCCCCCCCCCCCCCAACACACACCAGCCAAAATCTGGGCAGCCCTATATGGACAGAACACGTGTGTGACAAAAAGTGCGAGGGAGGGGGCAAATAGATAGCGACAACACCCACTCACTCGAGTTCAGCAGCACCATGGCCTTGAGGCAGATGAACTCCTCCAGAGTCACGCTGAGCTCGATGAACTGAGAGGCTGTCCGCAAGAGCAGGTCAAAGATGTCCACGATGCCTTCCACGCAACAGCCGTCGTCCCTGGAAGGAACAGGCCGCACACGTGGGGGTTTCAAAAGACGGCGAGATAGCCGGGCTCGTTAAGTTTGTAGCCGGGAAAAAAACAAGTAACGTCAATGAACCGATTTGAAGCAATGAACAAGAGGCATCTTTGTCCCCTCAAGGTCCCCAAAATCTGGGGATGCAGTTCTTCTCTGTATGCCGAGGTCGAGGTTTTAGTCAATGGGTGACCGGGCTTTTTCCTGTGTAACCCCAAGGCTATGGAACGCTCTTCCATGATATATCAGGATCTCCGAGTCTGTGGACATTTTTTTAAATGCTTCTTAAAACCTATGTATATGTTTCCGCTTATCAAACTATTAGTTCATTTAATAAATGATTTTTAAAATGTATTTATAAAATTGTTTTCATGCCGAGCGCCTGCTGCTGCTGTGTCCTGTACAGCGCTTTGAGATCCCTGATGAAAAGTGCTATACACATGTAATTAGTATTATTGCGGCAGAGAGAAATCAAATGATGTTGCCAACTCCGAGGTGAGTGTTATTCCAGCCATTCTGCATCCACCATGAACAACCATGTCGCTCATGCGGTTGTATGACGACACTTCACCACGCTGATCAATGCGGCGCTGGTGAAGGGGTAGTAAAGGTGGGCAGAGCCGGTTCAGGTATAAATTGTCACCGATTTTAGCCGTGACCAACAATCGAACTTCAGTTGCTGAGTTCTGAGCGAAGCGCGCTCAGCACTCTGCCGCCGCTAAACCCATACAAAAGTGTAAATGATACATATATATCTTCTTTGGTTCTTTCGGTAAAGTCACGTAGAATGAGAATAAAATAATAAATTGATAAAATAAAATAACACAATAATATTCTCACGACGTTTCGGCCACAACACAAGCGGCCTTCATCAGGTGAAGGCCGCTTGTCTGGTAGGACAGCTCCAGCGCTGTCCTACCAGACAGACAGTCTCGTCCCTTCACCTGATGAAGGCCGCTTGTGTTGTGGCCGAAACGTCGTGAGAATATTATTGTGTTATTTTATTTTATCAATTTATTATTTTATTCTCATTCTACGTGACTTTACCGAAAGAACCAAAGAAGATGAATCATTGCAGTCACGAAAGCTTTAAATCGATACATATATAGTTTTTTTAATATCTGAGCAAGAACACGTGCTAATCATGTGAGCGCAAAGCAGAACATCACAGTCCTTAGTCACACTCGTGGCTGAAGTCCGATGAGACTCTGACCCTCTTCGAGGACTTGTGTAGATTACGCTTACATAAAATATCAAGCGACACAAATAGCAATATATAATGTATCAATATTCTCATTGGCCATGTAGTGAAATAATATACCGCTTGAGTGACATTACAGTGTTGTGCAAAGAGCAGACGGTGGATAAAAGCAGTTTAGTCTATCAACTGCTGCACAATGGAAAGTTTAGACAATTATGAACCAGCAAGCAGCTGCCGTGAAATTGTAACAAAATGCTTCTTGCCTCGACAACCAAAGCCTCAAATTTGGAATGCAGGGATAAGCCAACGGTTTTGAAATAAAGATATTTACAGCACTTATCTATGATTGACAGGAATCCTTCGACACGGTGAGCACATTTTTGAAATGCCCAAGGGCGCACGTGGAGGCACGACAGGCAACGAGCATCTTTAACAAACGTGCGCACGAAATCCACAGGTGACTAGATTAGAGAAAATCTGAGGTGTGAGAATAGAGCCATCGGCAAACAAACAACCCTCACCAACCCTACACAGGACAAACAAAAGCGACGAGACAGGCATAATGATACGATTCTTTGAAAAGGTCTGCATTGCCCCGAGCAAGCAAGAAATAACGATGAAGATAACGTTCAAGGTCAATGTTGGCATTTTGTCAATTTGGCCCAACAGAGGAATACGTGACTGTCAACTGAGATGCACATGAACATAAACTGAGGTGAACGCGCATAATGTGTCGGCACCAACAAAAAAATTATCAGTGATAGAAGCAGTCATCAACCTTCGTCAGTCTTTATCTTCACATTTTTTTATCCCACGAAGAAAAATTCTAACAATTATATATACACAACTATTAAATATATATATTAATAAATATACTCTTTGGTTCTTTTGGTAAAGTCACGCAGGTATAAAATAAAATTTCTACCTACGTGACTTTACCGAAAGAACCAAAGAGTATGGATTCCTGCAGTCACGAAAGCTTCAAATCAAGATGGTATATACAACTATTGAACGCCCCTTGTTAATACATTGGAGGTTCAAGGACTCCCAATGTTCCATTTGGCCAACGGTATTTTTGACTATACTTCACCATCCTAGTCAGTGTGGGTTAGTGAAGGCGATCCCAGGACCAGTTTAGATATCACTCATCACTAATGTTAACTGTGGTCAGAAATCAAATTCGGTTCACCAAGTTCAGAGTGCAGCGCTCTTACCATTGTGCCACCTTTTGATTTAAAGCTTTCGTGACTGCAGGGATTCATATTCTTGGTTCTTTCGGGAAAGTAACGTAGAAGGGAAACAATAAAATAATTTAAAAAAAACCAGTTATCGTTGAAACCTTCTGCTGCCAGGCCAGCAAGATTATACGGCTTACCAAAAATACATAAAGTAGATACACCCCTTCGTCCCATCGTCTCTACTATCAACTCAGCCATCTACAAACTGGCTCATTTTCTGTATGAAATCATATGGCCTTTCACTGGAAAAACCACCTCTGTGGTACAAAATTCTACTCACCTGGTATCGACAATCAAGGGTATTTCCCTGTCCCCAGACGACCTGCTTGTCAGTGTTGATGTAGTTTCCTTATTCACCAAAGTTCCTGTACCTGACACCATCGCAATCATTGAAGACTTGGTTCATCAAGGACTAAACACTAAGGTACCCCCCCTGGTAAGACACTGCTTAACCAATACATACTTCACTTGGAATGGAACTTTCTACAAACAAACTGAGGGCCCCCCAATGGGCTCCCCCCTATCTCCGGTTGTAGCCAACATTTTCATGGAGAAATTTGAGACTGACGCCATCCAGACTGCCACTCTGCGCTCAACCTTATGGAAGAGGTACGTGGATGACACTTTTGTCATCTGGCCACATGGCCGGCTTGCTCTAGACCAATTCTTCGACCACATCAATTCCATACACCCAGCCATCAGATTTACCATGGAAGTCGAAAAAGATGGCAAGCTACCTTTTTTGGATGTTCTAATAAAAAGAGACCTGATGGTTCAATGAGCCACTCTGTCTACAGGAAAGCTACCGATACGGATGCTTATCTGAAACTGGATTCCCACCACCATCCATCCCAGAAGAATTCCCTCATCAAGACTCTGCACCATAGAGCCCAATGCATATCTGACCAGGAACATATAGCCAGTGAACTCAAGCACGTACACCAAGCTCTTAAGGCTAATGGTTATTCCAACTACACAATCCGCAAAGCTATCACTCCAACCATGAAGAAGGACCCTCTTGAGGAGCCTTTCAAAACCATAACTTTACCCTACATTGCGGGGATCACAAAAAAGATCTCCAAAATATTGAATAAACACAAGATCCAGGTCCGATTCAACACATTACATAAAATCCGTGATTTGGTTCCGTCTGTAAAAGATGTGATTCCGGGCATACAGTACCCTGGCATCTACAAACTTGGTTGCCTCTGTGGTAGTAGTTACATTGGAGAAACCAAACGACATGTCTCGGACCGCATTTGTGAATACAAAGCAGAACTGAAACACGGTAGGGCCAACACCTCGGCCGTGGCAGATCACTGTTATAATTCAGTGGGTTCACATGACATTGACTGCTCCAAGACTTTGCAAGCCATCTGGCTACCATGAGAGATTCGTTCATGAGGCTATCCACATATACAAGCACAGAGACAATTTCAACCGAGAACATGGATTCTGGCTTAGCAATCATTGGAAGGATTCGATAAACCATTTCGGGTCTTAATTGATTGAGCACGCTTAAGGTGACTTTCAGACCGCATCCATTATTTTCGTCTCCCCCCTCCTCTTTTCCAAACATAGATGGACTCGTCCATCTGAACAAACTACCAAATCACTCTCCGTGCTGCTAACGTTAAAATTTTCTTGTTGTGGTTTTCACACCTGATGATGATTGCTTGTGTTGCAGTCGAAACGTCGTGAGAATTTTACTACTACTGGTTGCACCAGGTTTGTATATTTCGCAATTTAAAAAATATATATTATTCTTTATACACATTCGTACTCACAATGTGACTTGTGCTTGTATGTTTTCGTACATAGTTCTAAATTTTGTATCACAAATGTGAAAATGGGCACATAAAACGTTTTATTCAATTTCGACTACTAAAAATGTCTTTCTGTAGAAATGTATGCGGACAAATCAAGCTTTCCCACACCCAGGCCCCATAACAAATGCTTTTAGCAAATTATCAAAACCATTTAACACTGGGGGAATCAGAATGTGTATTTATCCTGGAGAAACCCAAATAAAGTGACAAAAGAAAGAGAAGTGTGGGGCAAGGTAGATACGCTATCTACCCAAGATCATTCACAGCAGCAGCAGTAGCAGTAGGAGCACAAGTAAAAGCGTTAACATAAACGGAGTGAATATCAACTATGTTAAGAGCTTCTGACAATATAAGCCATTATAACAGAAAAACACTGGTAGATTTGCATGATATTAACCAACCCATCCATCGCAGATGAATGCTAATGAGCTTGTAGGTTCCTATACAAGTGTACTAATTATTCTATTCGTTTCTGAGCAATAATACATTTTAAATCACATTCAAGCAAAGCAGAGAATCGAGCATCTAGTCACACTCTTGTCAAAAGCCTGATGAGGTTCTGACCTTCTTGGAATTACATGTACATTGCACTTACATTAAATATGAAGCGACACTAATAGCTGGAGTTCTCCACGGAGTTGGCCCTTTAACAATATAATATATATTCTCGGCAGGCCCCGTGGCATTGCGGTGTAAGACACGAGTAACATTACCC